ATTTTGCTCTGCAACAATAAAACGTACAATAATAGTGCTCTACGAGGTATTTTGAGTGTACAAACAATGTTAAAACATATATTTTAACTATCACTAAAAAGCACTACAAGTACGTCTGACATAATGTAAAATAAACAACACAGAACAAAGCTGCATTTGTTTACATGCAAGACTAGCGACGTTAGCGGTTAGCTCGGACAAGTATGCTAGTACGCTCGGGCTGCTCGGGTATGGTTTGGATGCGCCGACCTCTCGACTCAAAACTACGACTTCAGGGGGCGTTCCAGTTGAAAAATAGAACTGGGAGGCTGAAGCTACGACCTCCGAGGACAACTGGAACGCAGCATAACCCAGTTGTGAAGTCCGTTTAGGTAAACATGTAAAATCCCAGATTATTTGCTGGTTCACACCGTGTAATCATTTTTTACCTTCCTATCTTTAGACACRTTTAACATCTCTGAGGTGTTTTACGTGTTTCTCTTTCTGTTAAATTGTTATGTTGCCTTGTTTGGTCAGAACAGATTAGGAGGCAGTTATTGAAGCAGTTGTAGTTTTCCTGTGCTCAGCGTGTGGGGGTCCTGTGCTCTGACTGCAGTCTGTGGTAAACCTGGGCTCACAGCTGCTGTTTGACAGTAATTACAGCTGTTGGTCTGAGCTGGATCTGCTTGGATTGACTCCACCCTAAATGTGGCAGCCTTCTGTGTTGTCAGGGGGTGTGAAGCTGGGCCTCGGAGACTTCATCTTCTACAGCATGCTGGTGGGCAAGGCCTCGGCCACAGTGGGAGGGGACTGGAACACCACGCTGGCCTGCTTCGTGGCCATCCTCATCGTGAGTTAAAGGCTGCTGCAGAAACACGGTTCCTCTGGAGTATAATCCCTGAAAGTGTTTTTATTTGGTGTCTTTGCAGGGCTTATGTCTCACCCTCCTCCTCCTCGCCATCTTCAAAAAGGCTCTGCCCGCTCTGCCCATCTCCATTTTCTTTGGCCTGGTCTTTTACTTCGCCACAGGTTATTTGGTCCGGCCCTTTATGGACGAGCTGGCGCTGCACCAGTTCTACATTTAGCAGGACCTTCCCTGACTAACAACATGAAAACATTCAGATGTAAAGGTCCTGTGGTGGTCCCTGCTGGCCCCACATCCACACCTCCCCTCTGCCGGGACACGAGCTGCTTTGTTTCTGGCACAAAGAGAACAGCTGTTCTGAAACATTTTTATTTGACTTTGAAACTAAGAAGTGACATTTGTCACTCAGAGGAACGTTTGTTGGACTGCAGCGGACTCAGACACAATCCAGACTGAGTGACAACGATTCAACACAAATGTTGTAACAGGTTGTGTGTTGTTTGCTTCATCATCATCCTGCTTCACATCCACACACGTTCTAACCAGCTGAGGCTTTATGTTAGGGTTGGCACATATTTCAACCATCTGTCAGCTTTTTTTTAAAGAACAGCTTCAACTTTAGTTTAWACATTCTGTTTGAAAATATTTGATTTGTAAATAAATGTACAATTCAAACTGAACCCTTAAAATGTAAAACAGTTTGTGTTCACTTTGTTTTTTTCACTCTGCTGCTCTGCTGACAGGCCTTCAAAAACCTGCAGGATTTGTTCAAATTGACAACAAATTCTGTAAAATAAATAATTTATCTGTGTCAAAATGTGAGCCRTCATATCAAAATGAGGATTAAGTCAAATTCAGTTAAAATGACCTAATTACATTTTCAGATTCTTGTCTTTAAAAGCTACATTTTGATACCTGGATCATTCTGATATCATAATTAAATCCATATATATGACTTAATTTNCTTTCCCAGTCTTTTGTTGCTCCTGTCACAGCTTTAATGGAACATGTTGCAGGCATCACATTCAAAATGAGTGAATATTAAAAAAAAAACAAATAATAATAAAATTTATACATTTGAACAGTAACTATCTTGCCTTTGTAGTGAATTCAATTGATTATAAGCTAAAAAGGATTTGCAAATCATCGTATTCTGTTTTTGTTTAAGTTTTACACAACATACAGCTTCAGTGGAATTTGGGTTTTACAAACTAAAGTACAAAATCTTTTGACATTAAAGCAGTGAATGACCGATCTCCAGCATCGTATTTAAAGCARCTACTTGTCCCTTCTAGCACAACTTGAATACTTTGTTCTAGTACTGGGCGGTATGACCAAAATTTTATATCACRGTATTTTCAACATTTACACCAGTTTCACAGTATRTCACGGTATTTTTCYTTTCATCACAGGTCAGCTGATAATAAAATGTACAAACACTGCTTATTAACTTTTCTCTTTTACTGTACCTCTGTCTGTGTCTCTGTTTCCCTCCTCTAAACGTCTTTTCTTCTCCKCCTGGTTGGAGACAGTAGTCACGCATTTTGGTCCRGTCGTGAAGGAGGAGGGTTAAGAAAAGATTATTATCGGTTCTATKGTTTYATGTTATTTAATAAAGATTAACAGCACAAATCACCTTGCACACCWGTCAACTGAACTCCGCTACAAAACTACTTCCCTCAGGCTTTTCACAATAAAAGCACGTTAAAGTCTYCCTGCGTCTCCATTATAACGTTGCGTGTTAAATGTAACCGTGCACATCACTGAAGAGGTGTTAACTACATTCAGYGAYGGCGAAAATGGGATGTTTTTTAACATCAGTCAACATAAGCAGYGGAATCGCCACCCGCTGCTGCAACAATAACATTAGCATGCTAACGCACATAGCGGTGCGGTGAGGAAAAGTGTCCCCCAAGAAACAGTTCACTGGTGGCCGCGACGAAACGTTCCGCACGTGTTCAGGCTGTTTAAAACGGTATGTCGGCAGTGTTTCCCCTAGGAAATTGGTCTTGGCGGGGGGGTTACTACATCCTAGTTAAGGACTCATGATAATTATCAATAAAATGATTATTGATAATAAATGATCAGAACTGTGTGCAGCAGATGATC